GTGTGGGAGTGAGCCTTGCTGTAAAGATGTATTCCCTTTTTTGAGCTACTACATCCATGTGTATAGGTAAATCAGCATGATCATTTTTAAACATATAATTTTCTTCTAAAATTATTATAGCTACTTCATAATGTTGATAAGCAAATAAAACTAGAGGTCGAGAGAATGCAAAGGATATAAGCATATTTATTAATTCTATAGTCTTGATGTATACTCTAAAATCAGAATTACATCTAACTGCTGTCTATCCAAACACAAGTGAATTGTATAATAATCATCACCAAATTATTTACAGTTGAGAACACTGGAAATCAAATAATTTGAGTGGGGTGATAGAAGAAGGGAGACGAAGAGAGAGATTCACTGAACTGGTTGTTAGATTGGTCAAGAATTCATTACATGATTATTAATAATCATCTTTATTTGGGTTATGCATATTATCCACACAAGGGGAAAAATGAGTTTTGCTCCCTAATGAGATACAATCAACATTGTGTACAATATTCAGAAAAGTAGTTCTACAGGGAATAAGTAAGTAACTTAATCCAAGTCCTTGAACTAAATAACTGAATGAACACTGGCAACCAAAGACCTGAGAAATTATGAGATGAGATAATGTAACCCATATAGCTGTGGGGGAGAAACCAAAAAGGTCATTTAAAAGACAGAAAAAATGACCAAAATTGATGGCAGAAGAGACTTTATAACTTGCTTTTTGATTGTAGAGTAGCTAAGGAAAATGGATTAAATGATGAAGTAAAAGAGCTGAACAGAAGATTTCAAAGGACAACTTGATAACAAAATGTATCCTAATGAAATGTGCAAAGAGCTGGAGTTACAAAACCAAAAGGAATGAAGATACTCAGCTAGAATAACTGAAGTGAAAAACCGAGGCTTGAGTGGTAATACTGAAGAATTCTAAGGGCAAGATACTAAACAACATAAGAGGCATCAAAGGAAAATGGAAGGAATACACTGAACCAGAAAGTATTATTTGACATTCATCCATTTCAGGAGGTAGCATATAATCAAGAACTGATGGTATTCAAGGAAGAAATTCAAGTTGTACTGAAGACTTTGTGATAAACAAGGGTCCTAGAAAAGACAAAATACCAATTGAAATCTTTAGACAAACAGATGCAGTGCTGGAAGTACTCATTTGTCTATGCCAAGAAATTTGGAAGACAGATGCCTGGCCAACTGACTGTAAAATATCCCTATTTGCACCCATTTCAAAGAAAAGTGATCCAACAGAATGTAGAAATTATCAAACAATAGCATAAATATCACAGACAAGTAAATTTTTACTGAAGGTAATTTTAAATGTTAAAAGCAATACATCAACAGGGAACTGCCAGAGATTCAAGCTCTTCTTAGAGGATATGGAACGAGGGATTATCATTGCTGATGTTAGATGGATCTTGGTTGAAAGCAGAGAATACCAGAAAGAAGTTTACCTGTGCTCTGTTGAATATGCAAAGACTTTCAAATGTGAGGATCATGACAAGCTATGGATAGATAACATTGAGAAAAATGGGTATTCAAGAAAATGTGTTGATGTGGGAGCTATAGATAAACCACGAGATTATCATTCAAACACAACAAAGGGATATTGTGTGGTTTGAAATCAGGAAAATTGTGAGTCAGGGTTATATCTTTTTACCATACTTTTTCAGTCTGTATGCTGAGCAAATAATCTGTGAAGGTGAACTATATAAAAAAGAACCTATCATTAGGATTGAAGGAAAACTCATCAACAACCAGCACTATGCAAGTGATACAACCTTGTTTTTTGAAAGCCAATAGGTCTTGAAGCACTTACTGATGAAGATTCAAGACTACAGCCTCCTGTAATGGGGGGGGCGAAGGGGGGTGGGTCTGCACAGCTGGACCAATAAGCAACATCAAGATAAATGGAGATTATATTGAAGTTGTCAAGGATTTCATGTACTTGGAACTTCAATGTCCATGGAAACAGCTGTCAAAAAATCCAAGGCTGTATTGCTTTAAGCAAAGCTCTTGCAAAAGATCCCTTTAATATTAAAAAAAGCAAAACTGTCAATTTGGGCACAAAGGTACACCTGACCCAAGTCAGGTACAGTTACCTCATATTTATGTGAAAGTTGGACAATGCATGAGAAAGACCAGAAAAGAATTGATGTCTTTGAATTATGGTATTGGTGACAAATATTGAATATACCTTGGATTACCAGAACAACAATCACATCTGTGATGAAAGAAGTATAGCCAGGATGCTCCTTAGAAGCAAGGTTGGCCAAACTTTGTCTCACATACTTTAGACATGTTATCAGGAGGGATCATGCTCGGTAAAGTAGATGGTCAGCACAAAAGAGAACCATCTTTAAAGAGATGGATTGGCACAGTGGCTAAAACAGTAGACGCAAACATAGCAGTAAGTATGAATATAGTGCAGGACTGTGCAGTGAGTGAGAACCAACTCATTAACACTGAACAATGATGACGTAGTGCCATCCCCTGGAGAGTACCACCATTCTAGATCTAGAGAGTTGCTTTGTAGTTCAGTGTCCTAGCAGGAAACATGGTGCACACAAAAGAGTACTTGAAGAGAGTCTATTAAAATGGACAGAGTTAAAGGAAGTCCAAAGGAGTAGTGAAATATAGCAGGGATTGAAACCAAGAAACTATTACCAGCCTATGCCTAAAGGAGTAAGAAGAAGAAATTTCCTGAACACATCAAAGTCTATGTCTTTGGGTAGGAGAGAGCAAACCAAAAATACCATGGTCTTCAAAAATGGGACTCCAGCCTCTGCCAGCCTGGGCCCAATAGGAAAGTTATGTTGTTATAATACTTAGATCTCTGTCTCCTCCCCTTCTTTGAACTTCTGCAGGTAACTTCCCACCATTGGCAGGCTGAAGCCAGAGGGTAGGGGGAGCCTGACTGATGCAATCTAGAGGGGTCAGGCCCCTGAGCACAGAGCAAAGTTTAGATAATTGAGAGGGAATCTGAAGGGAAAAAAGAGAATAGTCACTTTACTTTGTGATTTTGGACATTAGAGTAGTTTCTATTTGGTTTTCTAATAGAAGAATACAACATTTTATTCATTCTATACCAACTAATATTTTTTTGTTCAAAAAGACTAGAAATTTGGAGCTACATTCTTTTATATCGTATATGTTGTTGTGAGGTACCTTTGAGTCTGTTATATATCACAACAACCCTTTGTACAACAGAACAAAAAACTATGCAATTCTGTACCATCCTCACAATTCTTGTTCAGTTTAAATTCATTGTTGCAACCACTGTCACAGGCCATCTTGCTGGGGGTCTTCCTCTTTTTCACTGACCCTCCACAGTAACAAGCATATGTTTGTCCAGGGACTGGTCTCTCCTAATAACATGCCCAAAATACGTGAGACTATGTTTCAGCATTCTCATTTCCAAGGAGGGTTCTGACTGCACTTCGTCCAACACAGATTTATTCATTCTTCTGACAGCCCATGATCTATTCAATATTCACTGACAATACCATAATTCAGAGATATCAATTCCTCTCCAGTTTTGATTATTCATTATCCAGCTCTCATGTGTATATGAAGTGGTTGAAAACACCATGACTTGGGTCAGACACACCTTAGTCCTCAAAGTGACATCTTTCCTCTTTAGCTCTCTAAAGAAGTCTTTTGCAACAGTGTTTCCTAATACAAAAAAAACCAAAAAACAGAAGAATATATATCCTGTGTAGAATATAATACATGTTCTTTTTTATTTCACCAGACATTTATATTTTTTATAGCACTATCAAAACATTTTTTATTTTGTTTTACCCTGATTACAGCAGAGAAGTTTAATGAAGAAAAACTGTATTGCTGTATCACCTGAACATTTTTAATTCTCCTCTAAAACAAGGAAGAAACAAATACATATTAAAGAAAAGAAGGGTGAAACATTTACACTTGGCAATATTAACATGTCCAGATTATGGAAAAAAGGAAAAATGAGAAAAACAGAAAATAAGGCAGAATAACTAATAGCATAATTATCACCAGGATAAACAGAATTGTTCAAATGATCGCATATGATGCAGGCCAGCCAATCACTTAGTAGCAGTAGGTCTATGTTTGGGTTAGAGAAAAGGAGTAATAAAGCTGATGTCTCTGGGCCACATGCACATACGCATTTACACTTTTGCAATGGCTTGAGAACCCCCAAGGGACTGACTGCTCTAAATAAACCTCATTTCTAATATATTTATCATCCATATCAATTTCATATTAAGAATGCTGCATATTCTGATTCTATGAGTCCTCTGGCAATAGTCAAACAGTATTTTCATTTGCCAGCTCTCTCATTTTGAGATAAAGTTCTCACCAGTTGTCAGAGCAATATATCCCTAAATGTGAAACGTAACATATATTCTGAGCTATCATTTTAAAATGTGAAGTGTTGAATGATAAATGTTCTGTTGAATCCTGCATCTTAAAATGTCTATTATCTTTAGAGTTACTTTCAAAGACAGACTTCAAAAAATAATAATTTAGGTATATGTGCTATTCACATTCCTGGAAATGATTTTATATCATTAAACTTCTGCATAAATATGCTTCAATAAGCAATTAAACCTGAAGACTCCAGTTTGCATTTTAATCCTCCCTTTTCTCTGTGAAGTCATCACAATCATGTACCTTTGATCTTTCAGTCATTTCTGGCACCAGATTCAGATATCACAAATGAACAATTATTACTTAATGGAATGGAATTCAAAGACAATGGAGTCTAATGAAATGGGGCTTTGTCTTAAACAAAAGTGAAACGTTTTCTAATAGTTGCAAAGAAAATGTTCTAAGCACATTAAAGAAATCAATTTACGAGCTGAACATCTTGAGAGCTCTTCTTTATGGACTTCTAGACATCAATTGGTTTTGAATTTGGAATTTTTTTCTTGAAAAAATAAAAACTGCTACTTCAGGGATCCTCTTACCATTTTTTTTCTTTGAACCATGTTTTTTCTGCTCCACAGGCTGTTCCACCTCCCAACTTTGAGATGCCAGTCTCCATCCCAGTGTCCAGTCACAACAGTTTGGTGTACAGCAACCCCGTCAGCTCACTGGGAAACCCCAACCTTTTGCCACTGGCCCACCCTTCTCTGCAAAGGAATAGTATGTCTCCAGGTGTAACACATCGACCTCCAAGTGCAGGTAACACAGGTATGTCCTAATAAGGACCTCACGTTAACAAGTCAGTAGAAGGCACCAAGACAGTTTAGTCAGCAAAATGTCAACTTTTTTCAGTTTTCCATTTTTGTCTCATCATTGTTTAACCTCTACCCACTACTAGGTCCTCTACAAAATAAAGTCTAATCCTTAAATCCTTCTAGTGTTATCTACAGTTTACCTTTACAGCCTGTATTTGGCCAATCCCATTATATGGCTACATTTTAACCATGTACTTTCTCAAGGAGGGTGCCAATTATGCTGTCTCCATGTTTTTGCTTATGTTCCTCCTCTGCGTAGAGTGGTGTCATTTTCCCTCTTTTTCCCAGAAAGATAACACCTCCACTGTGAAACCTTCCTTTTTGTTCATGTTTCTTATCAATGATAATTTTTACTCCACTTGGTTATTGTTAAGATATTGTGGACTCTGCTCCAGACCACCTCAAAAAACGAATATTGCAATAAAGCGAGTCTCATCACATAATAAAAAGTTATGTTTACACTATACTATAGTCTATTCCGTATGCAATAGCATTATGAAAAAGTTGGAAATACTGTGAGAATTACCAAAATGTGACACAGAGATACAAAGTAAGCTTATGCTGTTTGGAAAATGGCACCATTAGGTTCGATACAGGGAAACCACAAATCTTCAATTTGTGAAAAATAAATGCAGTATCTGTGAAGTAAAATGTTGTTGTAGTTAAGTGACTTTGACCCCGTATAGAGTTTCGAGGAGCGGCTGGTGGGTTTGAACCACCAACCTTGTGGTTAATAGGCCAATGTTTATCCTACTGTATATCAGACCAGGATTCCCAATAAAGTAGAACATGTTAAAACAAGGTATGCTTGTATTTTGGTCAATTTTTAAGTTATTTAGACACTAACTTGCCCCAGAAAGGATTTAAGACACAAAGGCACACTTATGGTATGTTGTTGTTGTTGTTGTTTTTAAGTGCCATCAAGTTGGTTCTGACCCATAGCAAACCTGTATAGGTTTTCCGAGGATCAGCTGGTGAGCTTGAACCACCAACCTTGTGGTTCAAACCAACTTTGCAGTCCAGTGCCTTAACCCACAGTGCCACACCAGGACGCCCATAGTATGTATAAATGTGAAGCTAAAAAAAAAATTGAGTCACAAATGAGCACATAATAAACACACATACAGTTGCTACAAATTTGGCTCCACACTTCTTGCAGATCCTTGCTATTCTATAATTTAACATAGTTCCTGAGAAAATAATTCATTATTCAAAAGGAATTTGATCATTCTTAGTACTTAGATCAAATTAGAATTTTATAGAACATGCCTCTTTGCCCACTGGATTTGAAGATCCTTGTAAACAAGAGTGTACTGTTGATTTGCCAGGCTCACAGGAGGAAATAAGGAAATGTCGATTGACTATCATCAAACCATGTCTTTGTATTTCCAAAAGAAGCATGAAAAATAATTGTATTTCTAAATCATATATAGCAAACAATTACATATTGAACTTATATTTTTAAGAAACTACACCATAGGAAGTTCTAAAATTTCTTAGGCACAGAACTATTTAGAGCATTTATTCACAGGTAATTTTTTCCTTTATAATAATTAAATACCTGCCTTTATATATAAAATACAGTAAAAGTCATGTTTTTAAATTCTTGACCAATCTTGAATCTTGTAGATGCATTTAAAGCAGTTTGATGTACCATATTCTCTACTTTTGAATATGTTGTTTGAAATATTTCTTAATTTTCAGTATCCATATATATTCCTTTCAGATAATACTAAAATTCAGTTCAATTCCACATTTGTTAAATTCATACTCATTGATTTTTTTAAATGTTTTATTATGAATTATATGATAGTTTACATGGGAGAAGTTGCTCAATGATGTTTTATTTTCAAGATATTCTTTGATTGGAAATAATAAACACTTTTAAAATGTAATGAACATTTCAAAAATGAACAAATAATTATAGAGTATCACTTGAAAGCAATTAGAAATTAATCTAAATTATATTCTCATTATTATCTTTCTGCTAAATATTTTTCTTTAAATACTAAAAATAATTTTTTGTATTCAATGTCTTACTGAAACATCTCAACTCTCATAAACAAACATTGTCAAATTTTAATGCATTTTCTTAAGTTAGCAATGAATAAGCATCTGTTCTAAATTTGTGGCCAGTGAAAACTTGTTTCATCTTATTAGGTAATAAATAGTAAATTCATTGTTTGTAGATTCGTGAAATGGCCAAACCCCTAAGTAATTAGCATTACACAGAATTAATTGTGTAAAACATATCTACAAAGGACTAAACACCAACTGTAGGGTTATCCAAGCATATGGTAGACCTTTTTGCCAAAATGCTCCTTATAAGTAAGGATCTTTCATGCTTTGGACATATTATCAGGAGGCACCAGTCCTTGGAGAAGGACATCCTGCTTGGTATAAAGAGGAAGAACCCCAATGGGATGGATTGCACAGTGACAGCAGCAGTAGGCTGAAGCATAACAAAAATGTGAGGATGGTGCAAATCCAGGTAGTGTTTCATTGTGCTATGCATAGGGTCCCTAGTGAGTCAACCTACACAATGGTATCTAACAGCATCAACATAAAACGTCTATTTAGGAAAAATTAAACCTCAAAATAATAAAAAGGCAGAGACCATTCAAAGACTGTATTTTTAAAATGTAATCCGTATAAAAAAGAGAGAGACTCTGATAAATGTCAGTGATTGAATGTATTTTTAAGGTTTGAACACAGCATGCCACAATAAAAAAAATGTCAGCTGTTACATCTGACTGAGGCAATTCTTTGCAATTTTGTGGCTTTTGGGAAAGGACAAAATACTGAGATTGCTAAAGGCAAAGTGTTTTGCTTAGTGGGTCTTTAGCCATTCTCCTTTTGATCTTTCTCTTTAATCTATAGGTGGTCTGATGAGTGGAGACCTCACATCCGGTGCAGGCACCAGTGCAGGTAAGCAGAGACTTCAGTACTTGCGATATCATGGTTCAGGGTTCTTCTAAGTGATTGGAAGGAAGGAAGTCTTTTGAACAGAGTAGAGTTGAGCGGTCTGTGAGAGGCCCCAGAAAACACTGAAGCACTTTTCTAAAGCTGTCTAGAACGTGTTGTTAAGTGCAGTCAAGTCGATTTCCAGAGGACCAGCTGGTGAGCTCGAACTGCTGACTCTACAGTTAGCAGTCCAGTGTTTGTCCTATGGCTCCATACCAGGACTCCACCAAGAACTTAAAGGAAGAGTGTTTGTTGACTAGAATTTTCCTTACTAAAACGTCAACTGGTTAACATAATCCGAGAAATGAGGGTTCTGGCCAAATTAACTTAATCCTGGATACCATCCCTAGACACTAGAATACCTTTAGCAAGCTATAGCATTTGTGTTTTCTGTTTGAATCATTTCACATTAAATGTATGTCACTTTCACAACCACCAAAAGAATACCAAAAGGGAATACATAATTCCTAAAAGAGTATATAATAGAATGGAAGGAATAAGATTCTTAGAACCATTCAACAATACTGCTAATAAATGCAGCCACATTTGGTATTAAAATGAGCTCTTGGAGAATATGAATGTAATGTACCACATTAAAGCCCCTTAAATAGATTTCAGTTGGTAAGAACTTCTTACAGTACGGCCAGTGGTCTCAGAGTCACACTTCTTCAGGAGTTCCATGTCAATTCCTAATATTGTAATTGTTGAGAGATTGATATCATTTTCAATACAGAGGCAAGGCAGTACAACGCTTTTAAATGCCAACCGTAGTTCACAATTGGCATAAGAAGTAACCATGGTAATTTCTGCAGCTGAAACATGCTATACATTTATAGTAGTAGGAGGCAGGCATGAATGACACAAGGTTATGTTTGAAATGTCAAAAAAAAAAAAAAAATCAAGTTTATTGAAATATCTATGGACAGTCTAATTAAAATATTTTGCCAGGGTCAAACATAATAGCTTGCTAATTATAAGAAAGAAGGTAAAGAAAATTGGCATACAAAAACACTTTTGTAAATATATCCATTTGAGGGTAATATTTTTCACTTCTGATGTTGGCTCCTCATTAAGTCAGTGAATGATAAAGAAATAGTATTAGAATTTTACAGTGAATTGATAAACAGAATAAATGGCACTAACTTCCACTATTACCTATCTTTTGAAAATTAGGTAGGGTCAAGTTTATACATAAACTCAAAACACTATCTTTCTGGACACTAAAATAATCAAATGCTCAGTTTATTTCTCAAAAAAAAAAACCCACATGATGATTTGATTATGTACCATGGAGTTGGTTCCAAACTCATGGCAACCCTGTACAGTGTTCCCAAAGCTGTAAATCGTTACAGTAACAGGAAGCCTCATCTTCATCCCATCGAACTGCTGGTAGTTTTAAACTGCTGACCTTGAGGTTAGCAGCCCAATTCATAATTACTATGCTACCAGGTTCAGTTGCTTCAAAAGTACTTACTGATAAATTAACTCTCAAAGCTAGAACAAGGTTTCTTGAATTCAAGTCCCTGCTCAACAGTATGGTTTGAAAGAATGGTGATAACTAAGAATTGGATCGTCACAGACAACAAACATAATACAGTTGATCCTTGAACAACATATTTTAACTGTATGTGTCCAATTATACATGGATTTTTTTCTGATAAATATGTTGGACCTTTCTATGATATAGGTACTGAAGCTAAAGCAAATGGTGGAAGGAAAAATACAGAAATATTTTTGAAGAAATGAAAAAAGTGAAAAATTACAATGCATTTCCATAAAATTACACTGTGTGCACCTGCCTCTCATACCTCCCCAAACACATTCTCTACCTCTCTGCCTCTGCCAGCAAGACCAACCCCTCTTATTCTTCCTCCCCCTCAGTCTACTCTATGTGAAGACAATTCATCTTATAAACAAACAACAAACATTCAGTATCAATACAGTTGTTGTTGTTAGGTACCACCAAGTCAGTCCCAACTCATAATGGCCCTGAATAGAGTTTCCAAGTAGTGACTAGTGGGTTGGATAGAACTGCTGACCTTACAGCTTATTCCACAGCACTAAACAAGGACTCCATATAATGCATATAATGTACAAAATATATGTTAATTGACTACGTTATTGGTAAAGCTTCCAGTCAACAGTAGGCCACTATGAGTTAAGTTTTTGGAAAGTCAAAAGTTATATGTCAATCTTCAGTGATGCTGGGGTTGGCATCCCTCATCTGTATGTTGTTCAAGGATGAACTGTGTAAGAAAAATGATTCCGATTTATAACGTTTTATCCAATATCTCACTGCACTAGTTTGTTTGCTATTTTGAGAACAGTCAGTAGTAGTGATGAAAGGTATTGCATGTAGTAAGAAGAAGGGGGAAAAAAACCATGAGGGAAGCAATGGGTATCTCAATTTTGATGGAAGTGGCTGCTTGTTACTGCTTAAGAGCTATAATGCTTTAGAATCCTATATTGAAAATAAAGAGCATTTGGTTGTTCAATTATGCTGCCATTGTCAATTCGCTGACAATCCACTAAATCTAATGGCCCACAGGGGACAGAAAAAGAGACTCAGACTGGTAAGCATAAAAGTTAGCTATGTATGGGATGTATCATAGAACTAAAAAGATTTTAAGAGTTGAGCTAATCCATCCTCATACCTCAGGACCATTACAAAAAGCATGAGAATCTTCTACTTCAAAAATAAAGAAAAGGGGAAAAATAGAAAGAGATTTGCACCCCCCTGATGATAACAGATATCTTGTCTTGTAATAATGTGCATATAACTTTCAAAGTTTCTATATAGTCACTTATCCATGTTTTAAAAATAGAGGAAGGAGCCATTTCTGACTCTGGTTCCAAGGAACACCTGTTGCTGATGCCATTTAGTCTTGAGCTTAACTGTCACATCCTGCTCACAAGTTCAGCCGTCTTCCTCTTCTTTCTCATGCTGGCCAGTATCATATGTCAAAGCCGAATATATCTGTGCTGATGTCAGAGAATCACATAACACCAGGGGGAAATGAGGCCAGCCAGAATGTCTTTACATTTGCAGAAAAGAAAACTAAAGCAAAATGGCCAAAAGAGATCTTCAAAATTTGGAATGTTGTCATTGAAATTCAAGATGCTAGATAAAGTTAGGAATGGTGAGGCCAAAGAGCAAGACTTGGCAATCAAGTTAAATAGTCTTCAGTCTTGGGAAATATTTTCAAAACCTTAATTTTACATTTCAAGTCATGGTGGTGGTCGTGTACCATGGAGTAGGTTCTGACTCATAGCGACCCTGCATAGGGTTTCCGAGGCTGTAAATCTTTACGGGAGCAGAGAGCCCCATCTTTCTCCTGTGGAACCACTGGTAGTTTTGAACTTCTGACCTTGAGGTTAGCAGCCTGACTTGTAACCACTATGCTACCAGAGCATATCAACCTGTAAAATAGTAAGAAGATGACAAGAGGAAATAAACTTAACAGTTATTGTATGCCTATAAATACCAAGGGGAACAAAGTGACTCTGTAGGATAGACACTGGACTGTGAGCCCCACAGGTCAGTGGTTCGAGTCCGTCAACTGCTCTGCTGGAGAAAGATGAGGCTTTCTGCTTCTGCAAAGATTAATAGTGTAGGAAACCTTACACAGGGTTGCTATTAGTTGAAACCAGCTTAACAGCATTTAGCAACAACAACAATAAATACCCCCCCCCAAAAAAAAAAGTAAGCATCCTCTTTTTTCAGTTCAGTTCCATCATGTTGTTATTGTCATTAAGTGCCGTGTAGGGTTTCCAAGGAGCAGCTGGTGGGTTTGAACTTCTGACCTATCTCTCATTGTTGTTTAGTGCCATTGAGTCGACCCTGTATGGAGTTTACTAGGAGCAGCTGATGGGTTTGAACTGCCATCTTGCATTTCAAACTGACTTGTGATCTAGTCCGTTATCTTGCAGCACCATACAAGGACTCTCTATCAATCAGTTCGTTGTTTTTAAGTGTTGTCGAGTGGATTCCGACTCATAGAGCCCCCGTATAGTGCTTCCAAGGTGTGGCTGATGAGTTTGAACCTCCGACTTTATGGTTCAAAATGACTTTGTATTCCAGTACTTTATCATACGGCACCACACCAAGATTCCGTATCTATCATAGAGTATAGCAAAATTTCCACGCAGTCCCTTATCCATCCTTCTCCCTCATTCCATCACCCGGTGAGTTAACCAAATCTTATGAACTCTGCTTCCAAGATATTTACTAAACATTTCTCATCGTCCTGTTAGACTGTTTTGGTTTGTTGTTGTTGTTAGGTGCCATCGAGTCGGTACCGCCTCTGTATGCACATCAGAACGGAACACTGCCCAATCCTGGGCCAATCTCACAATTGTTACCATGCTTAAGCCCACTGATGCTGCCACTTTACCAATCCATCTTGCTGGGGCCTTCCTCTTTGTCTCTGACCTTCCACCTTACCAAACATGATATTCTTCTCCAGTGACTGTTCCCTCCTGACAATATGTCCGAAGTATAAGAGATGAAGTTTGGCCATCCTGGCCTCCAAGGAGCACTCTGGCTATACTTCTTCCAACACAAATCTGTTGGTTCTTTTGGCAGCCCACGGCACTTTCAATATTCTCCTCCAACACCATTAACACAAAAGCATCAATTCTTCTACAGTCTTCCTTATTCACCATCCAGCTTTCACATGCATATGAGGTTATTGAAAATACCATGGCTTGGGTCAGGCACACCTTAGTCCTCAAGCTGACATCTTTGCTCTTCAACACAGTATATAAAAAGATCTTGTGCAGCAGATTTGCCTAATGCAATACGTCGTTTGATTTCTTGACTGCTGCTTCCATGAGTGTTGATGATTGATGAAGTCCTTGACAACTTCAATCTTTTCTCCATTGATAGAATGTTGGTTTAGGCGCTTACAAACATCACAGGATGTTTCCAAACCCTACTAATTCATTTCCTTACTTCACATTTC